ATTTTTGTGATAGGCAGACACTGATTTTTGTGATCGGCAGATATCGATCATTGTGTACGGCAGATACCGATCTTTGTGTTCGGCAGATATCGATTATTGTGTTCAGCAGATATTGATTATTGTGATCAGCAAATACCAATTTTTGTGATAGGCAGACACTGATTTTTGTGATCGGCAGATGCGGATTTTTGTGAACAGTGATCTGCTTCCAAAATTTTCGGTGCACATCAAGTTCTTTGCTTGCAACAACAATTGAACAAAATTCACTCCATACTTATTCAATCCTAAAAGAGTTGTAGAGTATTGGGCCAATGTTTTCAGCACCAAATTGAGGGCATCTTTAACAGGAAAAGTCATGTTTACCTCGCTAAAGCTAGCCTTGGGGATCTCTATGTAGCTGTGTCCCATCTCCATATGGATCCTCAGGCCTTCCACCACTGACAGGCTGTACTGGTAGTTCCTCAGGTCCTGGAGGAAGACCGTCAACACATCATCAGTCAATCAGAGGCTGTTCTGGTCTGTGCCGTCTCAATAAATGCCTTTTTAAGGTTTATATAAAATATGTTGAGGGTGTTTTTATAAAGACTTTTTAATAAAGTAGGGCTGCAATTGGAAGTTATCTTTACAGTCATTCATTGTTTTTCATGACCTCCAGCATCACGTTCTTTATTAAAAATGAGACTTTATTTAAAGTCAAATGTAGGGGAGCACCAATTGAAGGTCTCATTTCCGATCATTAAAAAGCCTTAAATGTTGAGACAAGTTGACCATTACTGATTTCTTTCACTATGGGTGACCATTTAAAATGTATGTTGTTTTACTCACAGCCAATAAATTCATGATGGTGTGTCCCGTCTCTCGATACACTGACTCCCGAAATCGGACGCTTATCAGCGTAGTGGGATACACTGGAAAACCCCGCAAACATGATTAGTCTGTAGCTAATGGTGTCTAAGCATCACGTCCACATAAGAACAAAAACAGCAAAGCACACACTGTCGTATTCAGCTCCGAGCCGCAGGAGCAGTCTGAGCGGGAACACTTTGGCCCAAGGGACCTCCAGTTTCTGGACCAGGAGGCCGAACAGGAACGGTTGGGGGGGCAGCGTAAGGCCATCCAGGGGCTGACAGGTGGGGGCGAAGAACAGCATCCCGGCGTGATCTTTGCTGTCCAGGAAACTGCTGGTGAACGTGACGTTATCCAGCTCCTCCACAAACTTCCCTGCAACGAGAAAAAAAAATAATAATAATCAGGATTTCTGTTTTTTTTCCCCGAGACGCCTCCTGAAACGCCCCAGAAAAAGTGAATGGGTTACCTTTCTGGGCATCCTGGTAAATGGTGAGATAAAGAGAAAAGAGGTCTCTGGGAAGCGTTTTTTCTCCCGACAAACATTCCAGCAGAAAAATCAGCTCCTTCTGCCCCAGAGCCTGCAGCCCGTTGGAGCCGAAGCACCAGCACTGCCTGCTGCCGTCTGTGGGAAACAAGCTGTTGTCAAGATGTTTGGTGTTTCCGGATAGAAGCTGAAGGTTAGCTCTACTCACATGTGACCAGTTTGACATTTATCAGCAGGTTGGCATTCAGAACAAAGGTCAAAGGGCGCGGCCCTCCTTCCTCCAACAGGTGTCGAATCTGACAGGGGGCTGGACTCTCCTCCACCAGAACATCTAGGCGACAGAGAGGAGTGAGGGAAAGATTTCAGAGGAAGAACGTCTCTGATGGTCTGTGTAAACAGAACATACAGTTTTCTCTGCTTTTGCTCGTCTTTCATCTCTACTCAAAGCTGCTGCTCGTCAGCTGGTTTCACCTCAACATGGTGACCAGGCGAGTCGCTGCGCATTATTTACTTTAGACAGCCAAACAAAGCCCTGGATCCAGCAGATACACAGAGATGCTTCCAGTTCAGGGAGTCCAGGAGCTACAGCTGGACCACGGCCGCAGGAAGTTAAAGGTATTGTGGAGCATTTTCTCAAATTTTTAAAAATACCCGCCCTCTCCTTTTCAAAAAAACAAAAACAAAAAAAACAAGTGTGCACGAGACAATTTCTCCTCGTGCACGCTCTGTATAAAAGTTGCAGTTCTCATATCTCATACAAGCTTAAGGGCAGATAAGACTTCTGCAACCGCACACATCAAATGTTGCTTGGGTCTGGTTCAAGAACCCAAAGAAGCAGATTTGGAGGTTGAAAATTATTAAACTAAGCCTAAAAGAAGCAGCAATACAAGAGTCATATTCTTTAACCTTTCCTGTTGCTTAAAATACAAACACAACAACATTTAGGCAAAGATAAACCGGAAAGTTTTAGTATCTTTGTGTAATTTCTTTGCTTGGTTTAGTTTTAGCTTTTTTTAAAATCTACAATGCCTTATCAACCTGTTTTCTACAGAAATCAGAAAACTTCAATAAAATACTGCCAGCTTAGTTTACAGTTGAGCAGGTAAAACTTAGAAAAAAGTGTTAAAGTATCATCTAAATATGCCCATTTAGCCATGCTGCATGGAGGAAGCAACGTAACTTCTCTGCTGTGCTTAAAGACAAAGATGTGAAAAGTGGAGAGCTTCACAGATGGTTTGCAACATTACAGAAAAAGAAAAGGCGGCAACATAATTATAGATCAGGAAGGATTTTACGATTTAATGCACTTAAAGTTTTAGTTGAACTACCTGTTTAAAAGCACTATTGAATCACAGAGTCTCTCCCAGCTGACTGTTGGAGCTAAATCACAGTTAGTCTCCAACTGGTTAAAACAAAGTGATCTGACAGTAATCAAAGCCACATACTGCGTCTTTTCATTTTTTACTTCTCTGTACAGCATTTTTTTAAATAAAGAAAACACTAATAAGATAGATAGATAGATAGATAGATAGATAGATAAACTTTATTCCGGACTCATGGTCCAATAAATATTGCGTCAAAAATCTTACAAACAAGTTTAATAATATGTAAAAAAATATATGTTTCTGTTATTTCAGTCATTATTTCCTATAGCTGGCAAAACAAATTATTATATCATGATCTTCTACTTTTTTTTAAAAATTCAGCATATTGTTTAAATGTTCAAAGAGAAATCTTAGGGTTTTTTTTTTAAATTGGCTGCCTACCAATTAATTTTGAATTGATTAATAAAATAGATCAACTTCAGATTAATTTGTCATTCAATAACCTGAATCAATGCGCCAAACTGCTTCCAGAAGCTCTCTGCTTCCCAGTATGTATTTTCTCTAAGAGAAAGTTGAACGATCCTGAAACTGTATTCCTGTGATTGTTTATAAAATCCAACATTTTAATAATTAAATTTTTTTTTTCTTTTCTTTACACTTTTTACCTAAATAAGGAAGTTAAAGAGATTTGAGGGTTTCAAAATGGAGCTCATAGCACCCAGTTTCTCTGTTTCTTAGTGAGCTCGTCATTCAAATAAAAATACCTGATTTACAAGAAGAAGTTGG